GGGGGGGGGGAAGCACAGCGTCCACACTGTCACCCAGACTAGGGCAGGGTGGCCACTAGTGGCCTCAGGGAGACCAGAGCCCTGGCTTTAAGTACCCCATTAGCCACAGACTTCTTTCTGGAGGCCGTGGGCAATCGCTGGGCCTTTCTGAGCCCCGGGTGCGTCACAAGGCTCAGATCCGCCCTCCACACACTGAACAGCCCTGGCTGCGCCGAAGGGACCCCTCTCCTCAGAGCAGGGTACAGGCTCAGCAGAGAGGGGGTAAGATTCTCTCTGTGTGTCTCCCCACACCCATCCTTTCCTTTTGCTTTCTTCCTTAAATGGGGAAGGTGTGTGTGCAACACTGTCCCGCCCGCCGGTGTGGCTCAGGGGGTTAGGCATCATCTTGTGCACCGAGAGGTCGCGGGTTCGATTCCCCACCAGGACACGTGCCCGGGTTTTGGGCTCACTTCCCAGTGCGGGGGGTGAACAGGAGGCAGCCGATCAATGTTTCTCTCTCATGGATGTTTCTATCTCTCTCTTCCTCCCTCTCTAAAAATCAATAAGAACATATTATTATCGCCCGGCCTGTGTGGCTCAGCAGTTGAGCGTCGACCTGGGATCCAGGCGATTGGGGTTCGATTCCCGGTCAGGGCACAGGCCCGGATTGTGGGCTCGATCAATGACTCTCTCATCATTGATGTTTCTATCTCTCTCTCTCCCTCTCCTTTCCTCCCTCTGAAATCAATAAAGTTATATAAAAAACAACAAAACACATATTATTAAAAAAAAAAAAAAAAAAAAAAATTATTAAAAAAAAAAAAAAAAAAAAAAAAAGAAATACTGTGCCTTGGAGAGGGGCGGGTTCCATGCTTCAAGGAGGGACAGAGCGATGTGTCCCTTCCCAGCTGTCCCCCACCCAGGAGCCCAGGGCAGAGGCAGAGCCTCCCGTCTGGCTTGGTTCCGGGGGTGCCCCCTGCCCTGGCTCAGGGCCCGGCCTCTCCGGGCCTCAGTCTCCCCCGGCCCGCACCCACCTGGCGGGGATGGCGCTGATGGGCTTCCTGTAGATGGTGATGAGCTTGTCCAGCACCACCACGGCGGAGGTGAAGACGCGGTAGGAGTGCAGGAAGGTGTTGAGGAAGTCGATGCTCAGGAAGCGCAGGTCCGTGAGCCGCTCGAGCAGCCGCTCCACGCTGGCGTAGCGGATCTGCAGCACTTTGCAGGAGTTCATGGTCTTGCTGAAGCGGATGTCCACGTCGTCGCAGTACAAGGAGGCGTCCGACCTGGGGGGCGGGGGGGACCAAGGAAACGGGTCTGATGTAGTCTGAGCTCCACCCCGGGGGGGGGCCACCAAGGAAACGGGTCTGATGTAGTCTGAGCTCCACGCCAGGCCTGAGCTCCCAGGGGGCTGGCCGAGGCTGACCCCTCACTGTCTCCTGATGCGCCCACAGCCAGGACAGACAGACGGGCTGCTAAAGGGACTGGCTGGCTCATTAAGGAACAAGGAAAACTGGGAGAAAGACACTGAGGAAAAATGGGCTGCAGCATCTTTTTGTGTGTGTGTGTGTGTGTCTCTGCCCAAAATACCCCAAAACCAGCCCTTATTATACTCCTAGAAACACCGCATAAAACAGAACCACTTACAAAGAATGTGTTGCCGAGTTCACAAAATAGAGGGGAAGCCTGTCCACACAAAAACGTGACCACAAGTGTTCGTCGTGGATTTATAATCCCCCCCAAAAGTGGAAGGCGCCCAAATGTCCATCAAGTGGTGAAAAGATGAACAAAACCAGGTCCGTCTGTGCCTGGACATTTGCTCAGCTGTGGACAGGAGTGAGCACTGAACAGGCCACAACATGGATCCAGCTTGACAGTGTTGTGCCGACTGGAAGCAGCCAGCCGCAAAAGTCCACACGCACTATGACCCCACTTACACGAAATGCCCAGAACAGGCAAACCCTAGACAGAAGGTAGGCCGGCGGCCGCCAGGGCCGGGGAGGGGGGGACTGGAACCGACTAGTAGCACCTATGGGGTGTCTGCTGGGGGGGTGGGAATATTCTGGACTTAGACGGTGGATGGCCACACAGCACAGCGAACCCGCTGACATCCACTGGTGGGTGGAGGCCTACGAGCCACCAGGGCTGGGGGCACAGGAAGGAGGGCCTGTCAGGGGTCGGGGGCCCAGACGCTGGAGGAGAAGTGACCAGTGCCGGCAGACGCCCCCCTCACCCCTGGAGCTGCTCAAACGCACCCAAGGGCCCTGGAAGCTTATGTTTCTTAAGCTTTGTCATTTCGTAAATGGGAAAAGACAGTCATTACAAAAAAAAAAAGTGGGTAAATTTCATTCCTAATTTACATTTTAAACAGCCTAATACAAAAATCCACGAAGCCAAGGCCATCATCCAGATAGACATTAACTCGCCCTGGCCAGGTGGCTCAGTTGGTTGGAGCATCATCTCGAAACGTCGAGGCTGTGGGTTCAGTCCCTGGTCCGGGCACATACCAGAGTCAACCAATGACACACAAATAAGTGGAACAACAAACCCATGTTTTTTTTCCCTCTCTCTCCCTTCTTCTCTCTAAAAATCAATCAATCAATCAATAATAGTAATAAACCCCACAAAAAACAAATAGACATGAACTCAAAACAGACAAGATTCCCAAATGATGAAAGCAGCATGGTCGGGCCCAGCGCTGGCCGGCTCAGCGTCCCTGCCACGCTGTGTGGCCCTCAGCGGCCCGGCCCTGACAGGGTTAAGGGCACTTACTTGATCATCTGTGGCACTGTGACCTTGGAATTTTCCTCAAAGGCGTTCATCATGAGTCCATTGCACCGGATGTTGTCGACACACTGGAATCAGCATGGGGACCCCATATCAGAGCCCCCATCTCCATCCGGGGACCCAGGCCCAGTGGGGACTCTGCCGAGCGAGTCGTTCATGTGCCACCCCCACCCCGACACAGGTGGGCAGGGCCAAAGCAGAGCACCCCTCAGACGTTGGTTGGAAGACAAGCCCCAGCTCAGTGACCTTGTGGGGGTTTCCTTGACCTCCGTGAGCCTCAGTTTCTCTACCTGAAAAATGGGGATAGGGCTCCTCCCTCGCTGGGCTATTTGCCAATTTTGCTTTGAACAGGACGTACCCGCGCAAACAAAAAAGAAAAGGTATATCTCGGGGTGTCTGTGTGTGCGTGTGACTTTCTTCCTTCCCATTGTCCCCTGACCAAGCCCTCACATTTCTGCCATGAGAGGGTTTCTCCTTGGCAAGGTGGGTGGCGGCTATGTGGGGTCACATCACAGAATCTTCTGGTCTCAGGATGTGTGTGGTGGGAGTGGGGGTGGAAGTCACAGGGGTGTGGCAGACAGGCTGGTGCGGTAGAAGGTGGGTGTCCCCGGTCCTGGTCAAGGCTGGGACCCTCCAAACCCCACTTTTGCAGCCCAGCCCTCCCAGACCATCCTCAGCTCTGGCTCTGCCTCAACCCTGAAATGCATCACCTTAGCAGACAATCTAGAGATAAGGGGCTCCCAGACCCGACTTCGAGGGTGGCCCGGGAGATGGGACAGTTGTGCCCAGAGGACGCCGGGCCTTTCCCATTAGAACCTGCTCGGGCGCGGAGGGGCCCCAGGCTTTGGGAAGAGGTGGCGCCGCTCACCTGGCTGATGTCGCTGGTCCATGCCGCCTTCTCCTGTCTGGACGAAGCCACGAGGATGACAGTGAAGGGCGGGGAGTCCTTGGGCTCCACCCCGATCTTAAAATCCAGGTGGTCCATGTCTTGGCTAGACCCTTTGGCTTCCAGTGGCAAAAGATGGAGTTAGCACAGTGAGCCCGGGCCCTTTCCGAGCCGAAACCACTTTAACGCTTTACCCGCCGGGGAAGGCGGAGCGTCGGTGGGCACCAGGCCACTGGGTTTTCTCAGGACATTTCTTTTCTCCTAACATGAGGAATCCCTGAGGGGGGACCTCAAGGATGGGAGAACTGTGGCCCAGAGCACAGCGGGAGGGACTTTAGGAGTCACCGTCTAAAGGCCCAGGCCAGCCTCTCTGGGTCCAGGAGAGAGGCCACCTCACTCCAGGGACTCCCTCCTTCCCCCCGAGAACCAAGCCCGGCCCAGCCTTTCGGGGTGAACGTGTGCGTCCCTGCGCGAGTGGCTTCCACACCTACCTTCCTCCTCCGTACTCTCCGGCTCCTCCAACAAGGTGCAGTCGATGAGGGATACGACTCCATTCTGAAAAAGAGCGGGCCCAGGGCGTCGGGAGGGGGTGGCTTGGACAGTGAGCATAGTTGTGTTATAGTCCAAGTGGGCCTTTTGTGTTTTTTTTAAGCTGAGGGGCTTTATTTTCCTATAAGAAACCCAATGAAGCGGGTGGATCACATGGATTGTCTCAGAGAGCCTTCCCCAATGAAGGGAGAGGTCACTGGGGTGGGAGGTCACTGGGGTGGGAGGTCACTGGGGTGGGCCCCCCCCCGGCAGGGACCCAGGGGCCTCTCCATGCCCCTCCCTGCAGCAGCTCCGAGGTGGCACCTAAATCCAGGGAAGCCTGAAACCCCTGTTCTAGGCCAGACCCCTCATGTAAACAACAGGGAAACAGGCCAGTTTCACGGACCCTTCGCAGGTTTTGTTATTCTGATTTTTACAGGTGAAGAAATGGAATCAGGGGGTTGTGTCCCCCCAAGGTCAGCCCAAGGTCAGTCACTGTTCTTCAGTTTTTAGGAACATCTGGAAAAATGCCTGCTGTCCACGAGTGTGCAGGCCTCTTGGAGTCCCTTGCTACGTACTGAGAAATAAGAGTAAGCACAGCTGTGGTGGTCGTGAGGCACCCCCGCCGCCCTCAGACACCCTTCCTCTGAGTGCCCTGGGCTGGGCGACCTGCCTCTTCTGCTTGTTAGAAAGCAGAAGCGAGGGGTGTAGCTGTGGAGACACAGCCTCCTGCTGGCTCTCGTCTGGGTCACTGGCGCTGGGGGCGGTCAGGGGGAGCCAAGAGGACAGGTGTACAAATGAGGAGCTGAGGCCTCTGGCCAGCAGCCGAGCGGGTGGTTGGAGTAGGGGAGGACCCCTTGGCCCCCTGTCGCGCCTGGGTGGCACCTCCCCAGAAGCCCGGGTCACGTGGGTCCTGATTTCCTGACCCACAGAAACAGAGATAACAGATGTTTGTGAATTAATTTCCCTGCATGCGGCCAACAAATTTGTCGACACTTGAACATGAGCCGTGTGTGTCCCCTGATGACACCACCTGGTCTGAAGGAGGTGATGGGCTAGGCGTCCGGGCTGTGGAGCAATTAAGGGTGCTCTGACCCCCATGCAGGCCACCATATGCTCAGATTTGAAATCCATGGAGGTGGGTGTCCGTAGGGTGAACACGGTGCCGGGGAGGCTGTAGCTCATCAGATGCTTCCTAATGACCGAGCAGGTCTACACCCACCTGCCAGCATCTATGAGAGCTGTCACCACCCCCCCCACCGTTCCCAGGCGAGCTTTCCCAGGGCCCCACTTGTGTGAGAGACAAGTGGGACCAGGCTCTGAGCTCAGAGCTGTGCACCAGAGATGTGCTGTGTTGGGGGCACGTCGGCTCTGCTTGGGGGTAGGTGTCACAGCAGGTGCCGTTTGACAGGCTTTGAAGAGTCTGCAGGAGGTTTGCAGGGGGTAAGGGGGAGGGGAGAGGCTGTGCAGCTGAGTGGATGGCAGGAGCCAAGGTCCTGGGGTCAGTGAGGATGCAGGAAGGGGTTGGAGGTGCTTAGTCCCCCCATCTTTTGGGATGGGCCAGGTAGCTGAGTGTGGGGTCTCCTGCAGGGCTGGGAGGTCCTGAGGACCGGTCCTGTATGTGAGCACCCAGCCACCTGCAAGCATCACCTGGCCCGGTCAGGGCTCTTGCTGAGGAGTGAGTGCTGACAGGGCCCTGGGAGNCCGGTCCTGTATGTGAGCACCCAGCCACCTGCAAGCATCACCTGGCCCGGTCAGGGCTCTTGCTGAGGAGTGAGTGCTGACGGCCCTGGGAAGGTTCAGGCTGAGCTCCCTGTGATTAGAGATGAGAGGCTGTGGGCCTCAGGCAGGTGCCACCACGACCCTGCTCCCTGCACACAGACACACATGCACACAGGAACACAGGCACACATGCACACAGGCACACACACACGCACATAGGCACACACACATATATGCACAGTTTAGGGGCTTGTTTAGTCCCCGGGGTCCTCTGCCCCACACCCAGCTGCGGAGGTCCTGATATTCACCTTCCCGTTTCCCACAAATTCTGCAGAAAACCAGTCATTCCAACTGCAGTGAAACCAGGGCTTGTGTGTGTGCTCATGTCCCTGACACCCTTGTCCACCGTCCAGGCCCACGGTCAGCGCAGGGCCTGCTGTGAGCCCAGCCCATGGCCCGAGGCTCCTCCCGAGGCCTTACCTTGGTCAGGTGCAGTTTCCCGCCAGAGCCTCTGGTGCAGATGATCAGGTGCTTGGAGAACAGGAAGCACTGGCGCTCGCCCTCCTTCTTTAGAGACAGAGACCCCAGGCGCCCCCTGGTGATCTTGCCCTTTTCCGACATGGGCACCTGGATGAGGGAGCCTGCGGAAGGAGGAGACCCTGGCTGACCCCATCTGCCCTGGCCTCTGAGCAACTCTGGAGTCGATGTGGGACTAACTGGGAACAAGGTGATCCCAGTCTGAGTAGCAAACCTGCACCTGGGTCTCGCCCCCCAGCCCCCCCTCAGGGCCAGGTGGCGGGGACAGGGCTTGGGGGATGATCAGAGAGGCTCCACGTGGGACCCTGTGACTCCCAGCAAGGGCCAGGCCTCGGCGGGCAAGGAGCCCTCACGACACAGACCCTGCGATGAGAATGCCGCCTGAGGGGGATGCTTGGGGTGGCAGGAGGCTGAACAGGTGGGGGGCTCGCTATGGCTCAGGGGGATGAACAAGAAATGGCACCGGCTGCCACACACAGCCGAGGTCAGCATCACCAACCAATCAGACTTTGTCACAGCACCTCCACCCTCAGTACATCACCACAGAGCAGGTGGCCATGAGGGACCCATCTGCTGTTCCTACTCTGGCCCCCGCCCTTAATACTTCTACCTGTGAACTCCTACTTATCCTTCAAGACTACACTCCAGGCTGCCTCCTCAGGGAGCCCTCCCTGACTGTCCCTGGTCCTGGTCTGCGCCCTGCCAACACTCATCCCTGCCGGAAGCCCCGCCCTGGGCTCGTCTCCTCACGACTCTGTTGCATTGTCCACTTCTGGGATGGGCATTTATTCTCTGTGTCCCTGGATCCCCTTGGTGGCCTGGCATGAACCAGGCGGGCATCAGTGTGACTGAACAAGTGAAAAAGGCCTGCCAGGTCCCCCTGTCTTGTCTCCAGGCAATGGGGCAGATTCCAGGAATCTGTGGAGACACTGTCCACCCAAGGAGAGGTCATTCTTGGGGATACTTCCCACTTGGATCCAGTGCAGCTCAGGGGAGACGAGGGACAGGCAAGGCTGGCTCTGGGCTCCACAGGTCACAGGGTGGGCCTGGGGCACAGGGCCCCACATAGGGGCTTGGAAGGAACTCCAGGTAGACAGTCCCCTTGCTGAGGGCAGCGGAGACCAGAGCAGCCGAACAGGCCAGCGGCAGGTGCTGGTGAGCTTCTGTCTGGTCAGAGGGCCTGGGCCAGACAGAAGGAACTCGGGAGTCCACTCCGAAGCGGGGCCGCCTCCATGGCATCATGCAGGCCCCTAGTGTTCCACAGAACACGGGGCCTGAACGAGGTGACCTTCAAATGCACCGCAGCGCTAACATGCCTGAGTTGGCATCAGTCCTCCTCGACAGGGACCTCTGCCGGCCCCTCACCAGCGGCCTGCGCCTCTCCACACTATTCCCCGGTGAGCTGAGGCCGAGGGGGACAGAAACCATCTTCCCAGAAGAACTGCTGTGGTCACAGCCTCCCCAAGGGGCCACACATGATGAGCAGGGGACAGAGGGGCCGACCCACGCTGACTTCCCCCGACGCTGAAATCGCCTGTCATTCACAGCGCCAGCCCACATCTGTCCTCACCCTTTGCCCCTGCTCGCTCCCAGAAGGGACTTGTTTTGTTTACTAGAACCTCCAGCAGCCAACCAAGGCCACCTGAGAGTTGTGTGCACATCTGGGGAGAAGGAAACGGAAAGCCAGTGACATCTGGATCTCTGCTCACAGACACCACCATCCACACGCAGCTGTCCCTCTCCTCCAGCAGCCCTGAGGACCCAGCAGTCACACGGGCAGGTGGGGCAGCTGAACCAGCCGGAGGTGCCAAGTGTCGCCTGCGCCCCCTGCCCCGCCCCAGTGCCGGGCCCCCTGGGCACAGGCCTTACCTTGTCTCACAAAAGTCTGGCTGGTATCCAGCAGGATCTCGCAGCCTTCAATAATCATGCGCTCGATGGCCAGATTTTTCCGGATGTTTTCCGTCTCGCTGACTTCATCGTGCATTATCCTGTGGAGAAGGGAAACGACATGGTCAAGAGATGGAAGAAAAGCCAAGTCTGGGAAGAAAAAGCCCGGCACCCAGGAATCTCAGCGGAGGCTCCCAACGAAGGGGTCTAGGGCTGGAATGTACTGAGCGTGCTGGACACTGAAAGGTATGATCTCATTTTATCTTTCTGACCGCCCAAGGGGGCAGGTGATCTTATTTCAGAGCAAAGGAAATGGAGAGATGAACAGGTAAGAAGCAGGTCTCTAGGATTTAAAAGTCTGAAATGTGTGGGACACAGCAGCACTGGGAGGAAGATGGGAGTACAGGAGGCATCCTTAGTTCACTAATATGTCCCTCATCCAACCAGCCCTATCCGTCCACAGAAGGAACAAACTTTGTTCCTGCCCCAGGGCCTTTGCGCTTCCTGTTTAGTGCCCCCTGAACGCTCTATATACAGCTGTTTTCTTAATAATGGCTCTGGAACAGCTTATTTTTGGAGGACGGGGCAATGCAGCTGGCTCAGGGAACACTGACTTCAGTTATTTCTGTGAATTCTGGCGCATCTGAGAGAATCAGGACACAGCTTGCCCTGAGAGCAGACAACGGTCCCTATCTGTCCCTGTTCCGGTGGCTGCAACACCAGCCGTGTCCAAGAGGTGGCACCCGTGACCTGCTTTTTAGAAATACTGCTGGTGGGGAACAAAGGAAGAGGACCCTAAGAGAGCTGTCAAGGTGGCTCCGAGCCTTGATGGGTTCCCAGGAGCCTAGGAAAGTAGCGGGTCATCTATGGTACGAGGGGCCCGTCTTGGAGCATACCACGTCCTTCTGCTCAGGCCCTTAGCACGTGCTGTTCCCTCCCCCTGAATGCTCTTCATGCGGCTCTTTCCTTAATACTTTCTCTGAAATGGCTTATTTCTGGAGGACCTGGCCCTGCAGCTGGCTCAGGGGAGACCGAACTCAGTTACCTCTGTAGGTTCTGGCACATCTGGGAGGGAAGCAGGACACACCTGGCCCCTAAATCTGAGAATACAGACAGCTGTCCAATTCGTCTGTTTTTGGGGGTGTTTTTCCCCGACTGCTACACCACCCGTGTCCACGAGGTGGCACCTGCGTGGGAAAATGGACCAGGGACTTGTCTACCTTGCTGAGAGCTCCTGGATTTCCAGGAGCCTGGGATGGCAGCAGGTAATTTACCCCGGGGAGGGGGGTAATGGAAAAACACACCACCTACTCCAGCTCAGGGTCTTTGCACTTGCCGTTCCCCCCCGAATTCTCTTACATGGCTGTTTACTTAATGTTGACTGTGGAGTGGTTTATGTTCCAAGGACCTGCTCGGAAGAAGTCCCTGCCTGTTCTGCCTCATGGCTTGTGTACTTGTGGTTTCATTCCCCTGAATTCTTTTATATGGCTGTTATTTATCTATTTATTTTATTAATCCTCACTCGAGGATTTTTTCCATTGATTTTCAGAGAGAGTTGAAGGGAGGGGGGGGAGAGAGAAAGAGAGAGAGAGAAACACTGATGTGAGAGAGACACATCGACTGGTTGCTTCCCTCACATGCCCCGACTGGGGCTGGGGATCGAACCTGCAGGTACATGCCCTTGACTGGGAATCGAACTCTTCAGTGCGTGGGCCGATGCTCTAACCACTGAGCACACCGGCCACGGCTTAATGTTCCTATTTTCAGAGTGGGGCCTTGAGATGGGGTCTCTTCCTCAGCCACCTCGGTCCCT